CGGGGGCGGCGGGGCTGGGGACCACACTCAGAGTAAGTAGCAAAGCACTGGAAGCGTCTGGTGGGTGAGGGGGTGAGGGTGCGGGAGGGAAGAGGGGCCGGGTGGGCGGAGGTTGTGAGCAGAAGACCTGGTCCTAAGGTCACTGCATGTCAAAGTCAGAAGAGAATTTAAGAGTCAGTCCGGATCTGGCTGAAAATGCCTAACCTCAGTCTAATCATGCGGAAACATCTGACAAACACAAAATGAGGAACTTTCGGTGACAAAGAAAAGATGGGGAGGGGGCAGGGAGGGAAACCTGTATTCCTTAAAGATGCCAATGCCATAAAAGACAAAGAAAGGCTGTAACGTTCCAGTTTAAAGGAGGCAACTAAATGCGATACCTGACCTCGGACTGGACCCTGAACTGGAGGAGGAAATGCTAATAAGAGCCTTGTTAGATCAGTGACCACCTGGAGTACGGGCAATGCAGTGGAGAAAAATATTTTATTGATGTAAATTTACGAAGCAGACAACTTTAATGTGGTTATGTGAGGGAATATCCCTATTCTCAGAAGTATTTAGGTGTAAAGGGCCAAGATGTATGTAACTTGCCCTTATATGATTCAGGAAAAAACTACATATGCATAGAGAGAGTATAAATGATAAAGCAAATGACGTAAGATATTAACAGTTCACAAGGGGTAAGTGGATGTTCCTATTTTAATGTACTATTCCTATTCTTGAAGTTTTTGAAGTCTGAAATGTTTTCCAAATTAAAGGTTTTCTCAAAAAGCCAAAAAATTTAGCAGCAGAACTGGTTATTTCAAACAAAACCCCAGGTGGAACCCTGTGTGTAAAACAGGGACAAGCAGGGTTGTCTGAGGTCAAGCCCAGTCCTGTGTCCCTCTGGTGGCCCCTGGGGTGCCTCCTGGAACCCAGCTTGGAAACCACTGAGTGGCTGCATCCTCCACATTTGGAGCAGCCATTCCTGCATCTTCACATCTACTGGACACTCACCCACATACCTGTTCGCATCTGAGTCTCACCACAGCCCCGAGAGAGGTGTTCCCAGCCTCTTTTTGAACGGGGCTAGAAACCAGAGGCTCTGGAAGATTAGTACCTCCTTGGGGCCACGCAGCCCTGGTGTTTTCTATGTGCTTCCCCCACCTCTACCCTGCACGGCAACCTGCAAGGCAGGTCTTATCATCCCCATTTTACACACAAGCAGAGGCCCCATGAGATTCAAGTCTAAGGCTACAGCACTGAAGCTGGGTTCAAACCCATGTCCTTGAATGAACCCTCAAATCCCTGCTCTTCCTGGCAGGACTGCTTCCTCTCAGGGGAAGAGGCTGAGGTTCCGAGTGGGGCAGCCCAGGCCTGCTCGGGGCACAGGTAAGATTGGGAGCCACTGGGTTCACAAGGCCAGTGCTCACTCAGCAGTGGGAGGGGAGCCCACCGTCTGGCTCTTGCCGAGAAACCCATCTGTTCCTGGTGGGTCTGTTCCTGGTGGGGAATCTTCACACGGAACCTTGGTCCTGTCCTGAATTTCTGTGCTCAGAGTCTCCCTGCCTGGAGCTAGCTTTTGAATCAGCAGAGATTCCTGTCTCCCTGCCCCTGCCAGCCAAGGACAAGGAAACTATGAGCGTCCTTGTTCTGTTCAGTCTTTCACGGGCTGAGCTCCGGCAGTGCCGTTCTGTCTTTCTTTTCCCTCAGATTTAGCCATTCCCTCCCCCATTCCCTGCTCGCTCGTAAGTTTTTAGTAAGTAAATTCATTGTCAGCAAAACAGTGTTTGAAGTCACTGCCAAGACACTGAGTGTTTAAAAGAACTGCAGGAAGCTCAAGGCTTCTGAGTAAACGGGGACTCGCTGAGGATGCAATTGCCCATGTCAGGCCCAAAGCTGCCTCCCTGATAATGGCTCAGGGCCTGTAGAGCCCTGGGCCCTGACTTTGCCCCGAGCCCCCTCAAGCGAGGGAGAATGACTGCCCCAATGAGAAGTTCAGAGGGGAAGGTAACCGTCCTTGTTAAGTGCCAGCCACTGGGTTGGATGCAAACTGCAGACTCATCTCAGTCTCACAACAGCCCCGTAACGTGGGTGTAGCTGTGCTGACTTAACACAGGCGAAACTGAGGCTCAGAGCACCGAAGTAACCTGGACACAACCACATAGCTGGGAAGGAAGCCTGGATCTCTTTCTTCCACATTCCTCCAAGGTCCCAGGCCCACCTGTCTGTTCTCGCTGAGGCTGCTCCCAGCAAAGGGTCCTACGGGGCTTTGTCTCTTTTCCTGTCCTGATCCAGTTGCCCCCTCTACACACCACGCAGGACACCCCCTGAGCCTGCCTCCCTCCCTCCCCCGTTGCTGATCTGGGGCTGCCTCGCTCTGAGAAGGTCTGAGAAGGTTCCTGGCCAGCCCTCTGCCACGCCACAATGGGGACTTAACCTCCAGCCTCACATCGCTGCTGTGGGCTCCTGGATAGCTTCCCGGGTTCCACACCCTTGGGGCAGAGCAGGTCCACCTCTGAGAGCTCTGGGGGGTGCAGGCTGCTTGCTGACCCCCACCTTACTTCCTTGGAGATTTCTGAGGCGGTTTCTCAGCTATGGAGCTCACGCGCTGGCCTATTCTCTGGACTCTACACCGCATGGGACACCCCATCTCGAGGTCTGACTCCCACTCCAAGAAGAAGACCCTCCACTTCAGCATTCCGTCTCCACTGCTACAACCCTCTCTCCTCCAATCACGTTTCCAATATTATGATAAAGGGTTAATGTGCAGCTGTAACTCAGGGTGGCATCTGCTTAAGGGGAACAGTATTCATTCTCACAACTGACTGTCGGACCCAAGTCAGTTTAACCCAAAAGAGTGACTCCAACCTGGAACTGTGGCCTGTTCCGGGCCTGTGAGGATGTTTTTCTAGGGTGAAGGGACCTTGCACCATCCCCCAGTCACACACTAACAAATGTTTTCTGTTGGCCTGTGGCCACACTGGCCTGCCCTTCTCCAAGGCAGATGGAGAATCCCTCCCCTAAAACAGCCACCACTGGTCGAGCCTGCTAGGCACCATGCATTGAGGTTGACATTTTACATATGCTGTTTCCAAGATTCACAAGTGACCAAGCGTGGCTTCTGAACCATTAGGGGTCTTAGTTTTGCCTCTTTGTAAAACAGCTTCCTCAGATGAGGAAACTGGGTCTTATGGGGTTAAGTAAATCACTCAAGGTCACACAGGTAGTAAGTGACAGATCAGGAACTTGAACCTAAGTCTGTATGGCTACAGCGGTTAACAATCCTTCCACTCTCCATTACCATGGCTGTCATGTACAGTTACGCAGGTTGCTTACTGCACAGAGACATCCAGCTGAAGGGGTAGTCAGGGGATGAGATCCAGCCAGCATTCTGCTCAGTAAGGTGTGCACCACGGTGCAGTGATGCCTGTGCTTGTCTGCCTGGAGGAGCGCTGGGATAAACTGATTATAGATGGTCCTAATGATGCCCTTCCCAACATCTGCACCCCTTGCTAGTTGTGCCTTTGCAGATCTTCTCATCGAGAAGGGAAGTCTGGTTCCTCACCCCTTAAATCTGGGCTAGTCTTGTGACTAAACGAGTCAGTGAAATGTGTCAGACCGGCATTGTGCCAGTTCAAGTCCATACCGAGAGGCCTTGCAGGCTGTACTTGCCCACTTGGACCCCAACAACCGCCATGGGTACAAGCTTGGGCTAACCTGCTGGAGAATGAGAAACACGTGGCCCAGTCACCCCCCATCCCAGACCAGTCAATAGCCAATCAACCACCCAACACATAAGCAAGGCCATCCTAGCCCAGCCAGCCTCCAAACGACCCCCTCTGACCACAGACCCTCGAGTCAGCCCAGCCAAGCTCAGGCACACCTGTGACCAGATCAGCGTAACTGCCCCACTGGCTTCTGTAACTGATTTATGTGGCCATTATGGGTTGAACTGTGTCCTTCCAAAATTCATATGTTGAAGTCCTAGCCCTCAGTACCTCGAAATGTGACCTTATTGGGACATTAGGTCTTTGCTGATATAATTAGCTAAGATGAGGTCATAACTGTTGTAGGGTGGGCCCCTACTCCAATATGACTGACATCCTTATAAAAAGGGGAAGTTTGGACACAGACACGTACACAGAGAGCACACCATGCAAAGACTGGAGTGATGCTGCCACAGGCCAAGGAACTCCCAGAAGCTAGAAGAGAGGCCTGGAACACCTCCTTCCTTACGGCCTTTAGAGGGAGTAGGGCCCTGCTGACACCTTGATCTCAAACTGCCAGCCTCCAGAACTGTGAGACAATAAACTTCCGTCCTCACCAGTTTGTGCAACTTTGTTGCAGCAGCCCTAGGAAACGAACGTAGCACCTTTTCCTAATTCATACAAAGGCACAGTATGGGCTGGCTTCCTTGGCTGCTTTCAGCGTGGCAGCCAACCATGGCTCCCCTCTCGGCCCCCAGGGAGCCCACCGTGGCTACTCCTGCCCCAACAGCCTTCTGATTCTGGGAAGGCTTCTCCAGTGCTTTCCAAGGGCTCTGGAGCTGTTGAGGGCAAGGGGTCACAGCCTCATACGATATCGCTGCTCCAGGGATCCGGAGGCCGCCCCCAGCCCGGGTCCCTCCCGGCTGCCCACCTACCTGGGTTGCCAGGGGCCATGGAGTCGTAGATGAGCTTACAGGTCTTGAGCAGGGTGGAGATCTTCTTTTCAGGCGAGTAGGCCTTGTGCAAGCTGGCGAGCTTCCGAAGGATTTTCTCCATGATGGGCACCTCCGGCACGCTAGTGGTCACGCCCAGGTCGGTGGTCGTGGTGGCTAGGATCACCAGCTGGTTCTCCTTGAGCTGCTGCAGCGAGCCGTCCTTCCTGTGGATCTCACGCAGGCGTGAGTTGATGGCCTCCTTCAGGGGCTTCAGGACACACTTGTACAAGGCAGACTCCACAATGGCTTCTGCAGGTGGGCGAGAGCAGGAGGGTGAGGAAACCAGCTGCAGGGATCCTGCCCCACGTCTTGTCGCCCGACAGTGTGGCTATCCCCATCCCATGTCCCTGGAAGGACATACTCACAGCCCCGGCAGGTACAGCCCACAGTTCTGACAGGTGAGACAGTGTAGTACATTCAACAGAAAGCCAACACTGCCAAGGGCACAGGAGCCACACATGGTACGTAATGCTTTTCACAGGGCCCGGCACAGATGAAACTTTCACAGGGCTGCTTACTAGTACACCACCTCAGAGAGCACTATGTACATGGGAGTTGTGCAGTATACAACCTGTGCAGCTGTACCTGGAGGGCCTGGGTGCCCAACAACTGTTTGGTAGAGTTATTCTTGATGTGTCTCTTTCAATTACCAGATCCATTTGAATCTAGTCTCAAGAATACAGTATAGCCAGAACCCGACTTCTTACCATTTCCATGGCTACCACCTTGACCTAGGCTGTCATCATCTCTTACCTGAGTCATATTAATAGCCTCTTACCCTGGCTTCTTTTAGTCCGTTCTCAACACAGCAACCGGCATAATCTTGTTATGCCATGTTTGATCATGACATTCCTGTGCTCAGAACCCTGTAATGGCTCCCATCTCATGCACCATAGAAGCTGAAGTCTTTCCCGTGGCCCATAAGCCCCCTCTGTGACCTGTCCGTGTGACCTCTCTCACTCATCACCTTGTTTGCTCCCTGTGCACATGCTGCTCCAGCTACCTTGGCCTTCTTGCTGTTCTGCCAACCGGCCAGGCTTGCTGCTACCTCGGGGCCTTTGCACTTGCCATTCCCTTTGCCTGGAGAAATGCACGTGGCTATCCACATGGCTTATTCCTTCATTGTTCAAATGTCATCTTATCCCAGAGGCGTCCTGATCAGCTAGTGGAATGAGAATTAGTCATCTCTGATCTCACAGCGACTGTGCAACATACATGCCATAATCCCCACTCTACAGATGGACCAACTCAGGCTCTGCTGGTGCAGGTCGCACAGCTAGTTGGGGCCTGAACAAGGATTTGAACCCACGTCAACTTGACACCGAGGCAATGTTCAGCTTTGGTTGACAGTAGGGAGATATTCTTGGAAAGTCTTTCTGGCTCCACCCGATCTCCAGGGTCTCAGCTGTTGGCCCAGCAGGGGAGGTCCCAAGTCCTGTCCCTGTAGGGAGACACCTGAGCTGCTCTATCCCTGGCAGGTGAGGGAGGGGCCCATGTCCCCATGGCTGAGTCTCAGTAGAGGCCAAGATAACCCTTCCCTGCCATGCACACCTAGGCTTGGCCCATGTCTGGGTCTAGGGCTGGTCCTGGCTGTCTTGGTCCTCATCCTGCGGCCTCGCTCTTCCCCTTTGCTTCTCCTGCCTCTTCAACAGGACGACACACAGCATGCCCTTGCCTCCGTCACCCCACTCCTGTCTATCCTTCCAGGCCCTCAGAGCCTCTGCAGCTACAGGCGTGGTGACCTGGAGGCAGGGACCTGCGGTCAGCTTCCCCACCGCCCCTGGCTCCCGTGTAACCTTGACCAAGTCCGTTCCCCTTCCCGGGCCTTTTTCCTCATCTACAGAATAAGAGGGTCCATGCCCTCTAGGGTCTCTACATCTCTGCAGCCACCAGATCTCCTGCAGGGACTGCCTCTGACCCTCAGCAGCCATGCGTGTTAGTGCTTTTTATTTTTTTTGCTGCTAATCGCTCCTGGTGACTTGTCTCCCTAACAAAACCAGGAGCATCCTGAGGGTGGCGTCCCGCCCAGCTCTCAGGTGGTTGAGGTTCTGCCATCTAACTGGGCCCATGGGCCGAACTGGGAAGGAAGAGACAGAACAGCAGAGGGGTTAGTTCACGGAAAGGGAGGATCATCTGGGATTATCCCTGGCTCCCACCCGCTCCCAGCCCCTGCCCCAGGATGGGGACCGACCTAGCTCCTCCTCGGAGTGCAGGGCAGGGTCCACCAGGGCCTTGAGCTCGGTGCTCTGCAGCAGGTAGCTCTTGAGCTGGGTCATCATGGTGCGGATCTCCTGCAGCATCTCCATACTGGAGGTCTGGTGCGCCATCATCTCCAGGCTGTACACTTTGTAGTCCTGCACCAGGTTGCCGAAGTACGAGGCCTTGTCCTGGGCCAGCTCCACCACCTTCTTGTACAGCTTGCGGTTGTTGGAGAGGAAGGCACTGAAGACGCTGGTGAAGCTCACGAAGCTCAGGCGGTGGCGGGCCTTGCCCAGGATCATCGACGACTTCTTCTTGATGCCGGGGCTGCTGAACTGCTCTAGCTCCTCCTCTGTGCTGCTGGTCGAGTAGGAGTCCTGGTCTGTGGCCGAGGCGGGCACACCTAAGCTGTCCGAAAGGGAGGCCAGGGAGCCCTTGAACTCCGGGGTGCTCTGGGGCCGAGCCCCAGGCCGGGCATGCGGGCTCTGAGTGCCAGCTGTGGGGGCAGGCCCTTGGCCTTCTCCAGGTGGACCGGGCCTGGGGTTCTCGGGGGCCTCCCCGTCCGTGGAAAGCTCGGCAGTCTCCAGGGGAATTGGGAGGACCGAGGCCAGCTGCCGGGAGAGCCATTTCTTCCTGGGAGGTGGGACTGGGGGTTGTCGAATCTTCCTCGGAGGCTCTGGCATGCTGCCCAGATCGCCGGCTTTGGCCACTGCTTCCTGGCCTTGCTCTGTGGTCCTCTGAGGCCTGTCCCCAGGGCTGCCGGAGGTCCCCTGGGGAGGCAGGCGGAGCGGGGATGCCCTGGAAAGACCCACCGGGTTCCCCTCCGCTGCCGCCCCCCTGTCCGCCTTCCCTGCACTCTGGTCCTCCAGGGAGACCTTGTCTGCGACGCGGCGTCTGGGAGGGGCGGCGGGGAGGCTCTTCATCGTGGGCGCTGGAGGGACGGGGGCCTGCAAGGGGCTGGGGGCTGCCCCCGGCTTCATCTCTTCCTCCCTGAGGGGGCCCAGGCCTGCGAGGGGACGTGGGAGCCTCTCACAGGCTGTCATGGGTGGCTGGCTTGGAAGCTCCGGGGGGCCTGGGGTGTGGGGTGCCAGGCAGGGGGCAGACGCTGGGAGTGAGGGAGGAAGGGCCTTGGTATGCGGAGGCGGGGGAGCAGCCGCTGAGGGAGAACTGGGCACAGGCCAGGCCAGAGGGGGGGGTTCTCATCGTCCTCAGGCTTGGTCACCACCATGGAGGTCAGTGGAGTCACAAAGTGGTACTTGAGGGACAGGCCCAAGGCCTGCGCTGTGAGGTCCCCCTTCTCCTCCCCGTGGGCACTCTTGCTGTGGGGAGGGGCGGGGGGGGGGGGGGGGGGGGGGGGGGGCCGGCGGGGGCGGGGGGGAGGGAGGGGGAGCGGGGGGGGAGGGGGAGCTGGGCGGCGAGGGGCCCACCTGGAGGTGGGGGAGGTAGCCTCGGAGGCGGGAGGCGACGGGCGCAAGGGGCAGCTTCCAGGGGGTGGCTGGGCAGCCGGCAGGGAGCTGCTGCCGCAGTCCTCGATGAAGACTGGATTCACAAACCACAGGCGGCCGTTTCCTATGGACAGCTCGATTTCACACGAGCAGTTTTCGTAATGGGCGGATGACCTGAGAATGGAGGCGGGGGGCGCTCCCGGGGCTGGGTCTCTCGGGGCCTCCAGTGGGCTCCCACCTCCTCGCCGGGGGTTCAGCGAGGAGTCCCAGAAGCCTGTCGAGATGAGGGAGGGAGAGGCGGTCAGTCCTGAAGCCGGGCCCCAGCCTGGCCCGGGCGGCGTCTGTGGGCTGCGCGGGGAGCAGGGCGAGGGAAGGCCGCGCAGGGCTTGCTTCACCGCTCCGAGGGTTGGTTTCCCCTCTGGGACTGTTTTAAACCTCTCCCAGTACTTCCTGCTTCGAGAGGGGAAGCCCCACACCATCCTCCCCTGCGGTGCCAGGCTGGGGCCTGGACGGCGCTGATGACAGGCGCAGCTTCAGTCCTGTCCCCTGGCGTGTGAGACCCCACGGCAGGGAGCAACCCATGCCCCGGGGTGCAGGTATGTACGGGGCTGGAGGGGGCAGAACCCCGGAGCTCCCGATGCTGACCGGCTGGGTGCTCTGGGGCAGGTCACCGGACCTTTCCAGGCCTTCATCTAGTCATCCCTAGGATGGGGTCCCGACAGAGAAGTTGCTTTGGGCCTGTTTGGGCCACTGCAGTTGTCACAGCGGGAAGAATGAACTATGGATTGTAGCCAGTGAGCTCAGACCTGACCACCCAAGTTGGGGAATGCCTGCCCTCTGCAAAATGATTCTGCCTCTGGCCAATCTCAGTGTTGAAACAGGAAGCTGCCCTGTGCCCCCAGCTCAGAGAGCTGGAGCTCGTGCACTGCTAAGTCCCAGCACATGCCTTGCACTTGACTCAGCCCTTAGCTGTGGCCACCAAAGCAGGCCTGCACTGATGGTCAGCACCAGGCTTGTTCTGGCTAATGGGCATGGGACGTCCAAGCTGAAAGGGCGCTGGGGCTTGACTAGCTCAGAGGAGTTCTTGACCTCTCGGTACCAGGCTCTACTCTATGGAGAATCTGACAAAAGCTCGGGATGCTCCCAAAAGGCCACAGGAGCACATTTTGAGAACAAGGTCACTTGGCTGGCAGGTCACTGCAAGCTCACTCAAGCAGCTCCTTTTGGAGGAGTATGGAACCCAGGTCGTGTTCCATGTGTTCATTTCAGAGATCAATAGTGCAAATTCCTTGTTAGTGATTGAGCCAGGCCTCCAGCCTCTCACCCAGGGCTCTTTACCTCTGGGAGGGAGTCATCAGTAAGAAAACTACCAAAAACAGCATCAAAGACAATACCAGGAAGAAACGTGCATTGCGTTCTGGCTGTTGTGGATTCCTTGCTCTACAGGGACCATCTCACCGATCCCTGACCACAGGCCTCTGGTGTAAGTCCTCATGTTGTCCCCGTATGGCAGATGAAGATGAGAAAGCCAGGGAGATGAATGGTCACCGGGGTGGTGAGTGAAGGAGCTGGAATTTGAACTAGGTCACACTAGCTCTAAAGCTGAGAGTGGCATGGACATATATACACTACCAAACATGAAAAAGATAGCTAGTGGGAAGCAGCTGCATAGCACAGGGAGATCAGCTCGGCGCTTTGTGACCACCTAGAGGGGTGGGTAGCTGATTCACTTTGTTACACAGCAGAAACTAACACACCATTGTAAAGCAATTATACTCCAATAAAGATGTTAAAAAATAATAAATAAATAAATAAATAAATAAATAGAGCCGTGTGCTGGGCTGCCCTTGATAGGAACTTGCAACACTTCCCACCCTGGTTGCTCTCCTGGTGTGAGTGAGTAGTGGGGTGGTGAGCACCCCAGAACGGGGAATGTGGTAAGAACACAACAGGCTCTTGACATCGAAAGAAAGGAGATGTTGCAAGATGGCCAAGGGCAGCCGTGCATGTGTGTGCGCGTGTGCGTGCCCGCCCTAAGGGATGGGCACTCTCGGGGCTGTGGGTGTTTGCCACCTTGCTGGCAAAAGGGGTCAGAAACCCAGTCAAGGTGAGCAAGGTGTAATCCCAGGACGGTGGGGCTGCCGAGAAACTGACTGAAAGAGAGCTGTGCGCATGCACAGGGGAGCAGGGCGGGACTCATGGTTCAGCCCTGTCCTGGGCAGAGACTCCCAAGCCTGGAAGTGCCGTGGCCGGCTATCTCCACAGCATCAAAGATGACAAATTTTTGTGGGACTTTCTGACACGCCAGGCTCTGTGCCCATGCCAGCCACCACCTGAGGATGTGGAGAGCCCGGAGGGGGAGGGTGCGTCTCCAGGCTCTCCCTAGATCCAGGCGGGTTGTTCCTGAGGGCTGCCCGGGCCCTGTGCTTCACTTTCTTGGGCAGCTATGACCCCTCCATGACCGGTCCATTCTCCTGGGTACTCTTCGCATGGTCTCCTTGGAAGGTTTCTTAGCAAGGAGCAGCAGGCGGCCAGTCTAAGGTGACTGGGCTGCAGCCCCATAGGTGAGCTGAGGCCCCCGAGGCTCACCTCCAAGTTCTCATAAGACCCTTCCTTTGGGAGAAGGTGCAAGTTATGGGGTAGACGATCAAGAGAACCGCCCACCCATGCTCGGACACTCCCGTTACCGCTCACCTAGATCGTGGCCATAGGCTGCCTCCATGCCCCCACCCTGCCCCCAATCCATTCTACTCCTTGTGGCTCTATTCTGGGCGTATGGTGGGCCCTTGATTGCTATTTGTCCAGAATCGCTTCCCAACCTTTAGCCTGGCATTCAAGGCCTGTGGGACCTGGCCCTGTACACCCTTCCAGCGCCGCCTACTGAATCTCCACCCACTCTCTCTGTTGCTCACTTCCTCCCGAACACGCCACGGGCTGCCACACCTTCAGGTCTTGGCTAATGTGGTTCCCTCTGCTTGGAATGCTTTTCCCGCCCTCTCCACCTGGCAAACTCCTACTCATCCTCCAACACTCAGGTCAAATGTCCCCTGTTTGGTGGAGCCTTCCTGACACATTCAGGCCTCACCTACACTCCCCTGGGCTCCGCAGTCCTGGTGCACACTGACGGGAGAGACCAACCCTAGGACTGTACATCTCTGGTTTCGTCCTGAACCATGGGAAGAGGTCTAAAGACAAGAAGAGAAGAAGTGAGAAAATGAGAAGAGGGAGGCAAAAAGGAGGGCAAAGAGCTCCATAAGTGATGGACCACCAGCTGGACCTGCCCACCTCAGGATAGCAGGGGTGTCCATCATGCACAGAAAAAAAGAACACATTTTCCACTGCTCAGATTTGTATTCCTACAAGAGTGGAACAGACAGTGGGGTTCAGGGAAATGGGCCCAGGGCCTGGGTGATTAGGCACCACTCCCCTGCCCCTAAGATAGGCCTGGTGGTTGTACCTCGCAGGGCAGAGGCCCCAAAGTGAATGCCGCTCTGAAGGGTGAGGAGCTGCACCCTGGGGTCTGAGGGCCTATTAGGGAACTCAGTGGCAGCATAGGTCTTTATGCTTAAAAACAAGGAAGCAGGGCTTCCTTGGTGGTGCAGTGGTTGAGCGTCCGACTGCCGATGCTAGGGGACACGGGTTCGTGCCCCGGTCCGGGAAGATCCCACATGCCGCGGAGCGGCTGGGCCCGTGAGCCATGGCCGCTGAGCCTGCGCGTCCGGAGCCTGTGCTCCGCAACGGGAGGGGCCACAACGGTGAGAGGCCCGCATACCGCAAAAAATAACAAAAAACAAAACAAGGAAGTAGGTAACTTTCTCTGCAGCCTACACAATGCCAAGGCCAGGGGAGAAGCGGAACGCTGTCACGCAAGCCTCACGGTTGGCCCGCTGTGGGCGTCTGTGCCCACCGGCACTGGGCCAAGCTCAGCTCAGTGGTCGCAGTTCCCCTAAGGGCCTGTGCCCTCACTGCCTCTGTGCTGCCCTCGGACTGAGGCAGATGTTTCGCTGGCCCTGTGGCTTCCTGTGTCTCAGCTGGGGATGCCTTCTGCCAGGCGTCCACTCCTACAATCCTCAGAGGTCCTGGGCCAGGCCAGGAACTGGGCTGTACACCCTGAAGGCAAAGGTGACAGAGGTTTCACACTTGAGGAGCCCTGGGCTACCGGCAGAACAAAGAGGGGACGAGTAAATGCAGCCAAGTATTCCAAATGCCATGGAAACAGCTAGAAAGTCTGGTGAGATCAGTGGATGAATGTTTTTGTGGCATCCTAAAGACGGGCTGTTGGACAGCCATTCAATCTGGAGTTTTCAACGAGTTTTTAATAAGTAGGAAAATTCTTATTATATAATGTAAAGGAAAAAGCAAGTTACAGGCAAACTTGGAAGCACTATAGAACATATGCTTTTTCTAAACATATTTTAAAAATATTAAGACATATACATACTACAAATATGTCTGAGAACCTCTGCAAATCTAACCCCTATCTATCACTGCTTTCTCTAGATTCCTTTTGCACTCAGAATCAACTGCATGCAGTTTAGTGCTGAACTGCCCCCATGTTAGTTTTGTGGGCCCAAGCTTATACCTACATAGACCTTTTGAACGTTGGCTTTTCCAAGGCCAAACTCAGACTTTCTTACATCAGCTCACGAGCAAACACTCTGGGCGATCACGTGGTGCTGAGCCTGTAGGTCAGTAGCCCCGTTTCGGCAACATCAACCCTGTCTGAACAGCAGGGCTTGTGCAATGCTTTGGATATTTATGACATTCTATTCATTTTGTAAAAAGTGAGTAGAGTGCCAGAAAAAGAACCACTGCTGACACTAGTGATAGAAGACACATATGCCTCATAAACTTATTCCAACTATGAGATCACCAGGTCGGGAGTCAGAGCCTGGCCGGTGGCGGATCGGAGCGGGAACCAGGGCTTAGGGAGGAGGCTGAGCTGTGTGCAGAGATGAGCGTCTGCTGCCTGCAAAGCCCGGCTGACCTTCTGCTCCTATCACGGAGATTCCCCGGCAGACTTTCACTAAGCCCCCTTTTATCTAAGCTCGTTTGACTGGGTTTTGCTTCTCTGCCACAGGAGTGCCTTGCCCAGAACAATGTGTGATGCACTGGGCACAATGCCTGGTGTGTCTGGGCCTTTGGCAAGTGCTGCTCTTTGCATATATATCATCACAAGCGCAGGTGAAGGTCAGGGAGGTCTGCACGTCCCAGAGCCAGGGCCTCTGGCCTCCAACAGGACGTGCCCTTTCAGCTCCGGGTCTCCGTCCATTCTGGGGAAGGACTGAAAAGTTAACCGCTCCTCGGCTCCAGGGAAAACCTATTCTGGTGAACCTCGCTTCTGACCTTCAGCCCTTGGGGACACCAGGCCTGATCAGAACCCTCCGGTTCTTGGGATTTCCCTGGCAGTCCAGTGGTTAAGACTCTGTGCTTCCAACGCAGGGGGCGCGGGTTCGATCCCTGGTCGGGGAGCTAAGATCCCACGTGCCATGTGGCGTGGCCAAAACATTAAAAAAAAGAACCCTGATTCCTAAGCTTCAATGCACTCAGATTCCACTTAAATCCCCTTCCCAAGGAAGTGAATGCTGACACACAATCAGAACTGCCGCCTGCTTCCCAGAGGGCACCTCCCCTCTCACTTCCTCAACGTGCCCGAGGTGAAGCTCACCCAGGATAGAAGGGATTGTCTGTTCCAGAAAGGAATGTGCTCCCCAGAGGAGCAGCTTGTCTTTCATACAGCCGTTCCTAGGGCATAGGGGCAGCCCCGCCCCTGCACCCTAGGTGAGAGGAAACTGCGGGTCCCTGGGGCAGTGGGTCTTAGGGATGCCTGCCTCAACCTACCCACAGTGAGGCTGCTAACCAACCCTCCTCTCAGAGGTACGCCTCTCCGGATGGAGCTCATGCATCTCACTTGCCCTCCCAACTTGGCCTCAAAACTGGCAGCTGACTGCTCGTCGGAAAAAAACTGAGAAGGTCATGAGGTGCAGCTGAGGGGCAGTGGAGGGGCTGAGCTGGGAGTCAGAAGCCCCAGGCACACATCCCAGCTTTGCTCTGCCTGCCTGGAGCATCCTGGCCAAGTTTCTCAGCTGTGCTAAGAACTGACTTAGCTGTGCTAAGAACTGATGCAAGGACTGCACAAGATAGTGCCAAGGGCGTGGCAATGAGAGCGTCACCTGTGCCATTTTAGACCTTAGGAGGGGTGTCACTTGGACTGTATGAGTTACAAGACTCTCACCTGTCCCACATGAAGCTTCTGGAAGGGTAAGAGCCCAACAACTATAACATCTGGGGCCCAAGTTCGGTGTTTATCCCCAATATCAACTGAAAACTGGCCCTGAAGTTTATAAACTGGGTCAACCGGACCTAGGAGAGCCTGGATAAGGAGTTAAGGGGCAGCACAAGCTACTGGGTGAGGGCTGGAGCCCAGCTGCCCAGCCCTCCATGGACACTGGACATGTCACTCAACCCCTCGTGTCTGTTTCTTCTGCCATAAAGTGGGGATCACAATAACAGAACCTGCTTTAGAGGGTTGTTTGAAGATCTGATGCATCAATGCAGATTAAGAGGTCAGTGCTCATTAAATGCGGACATCCGAGGTCCCTGGACTCCTCCTACTTCCTGGCCTTTGACCACGAGCTGCCTGTGGCATCTCTTGCATTGTTGTCTAGAGGCCTCTCTGGGTGGTGGACAGTGGCTGGCTTGGGAACCAGGGGGTATCGCCTCTGATCCCGGGTCTGCCTCTAACTTCCTCTATACCCCGGGTCCGCCCTCTCCATCACCCTCTGCTCCATTCATCCAGCGCTGGTGAAGATGTACTGCTGTGCTCAGCCACGTGTGGTGCAGGTTCCTGGGGATGGTTTAGACTTTTTAATACAAAAATCGAGGTATAGTTGACTTACAATATTATGTTAGTTTCAGATGCACAATATAGTGATTCAAAATTTTAATAGATGATACTCCATTTAAAGTTACTATAAAACATTGGCTATATTCCCTGTGTGGTTTAGTCTTAATAAGGACTTATTAACTGCTTTGTTCATAACGAGACCTGACCTGTGCCTAGGATTGGGGGCCCACAGAGGCGGCTGGCTTGTCTTCCTGGCAGCTTCAGACTTGGTGAGCTTGGGCTCCCTGAGGGTTAGCATGGAGAGGCCATGTCAGAGGTTGGCACTGGCTCAGCGAAGCCCATAACATGGAAAGGGCCCAGTAAACATGAGCTCTTCTTACTATTATGTGGAAGGGCTGGGATGAGAAACGCTCTTGTCTTTTACTCTCCCCTCGTCATCCCTCAAAAGGTCAGAAGGGTAAGGGGCAGGGTGTGTGTGCTGAATCAGGTGGTTGGGTAGGGGCAGGCCAAGGGAGTGGGGGGCGCACTCTAGCTCATGATCACGTTCACGCTGCTTTTCCTTCTGACGAGGGCGGGGCTGGGGGCCAGGGCTGTGGCAGCTGCTGGCACCCAGGTTCCTGGCCATCGCTGAGAAGTCCCCTGGCGTTTGGTCCAGCTTCTCCCGGGCCACGCCCTGCCACCAGGTCAGCCTGTGTGGGTCCTGACCAGACCCAGCTCCCTCAGACCCAGCAAGGCTGTGCATCAGACCTCCTGACAGCTGTTAAGGGGGCCACTCCGAAAAGAGGGAGAATCTCCCTGCTACAGGGGCTCAGCACCTGGGGCAGGGGTGCAGGTGGTCCCGTGGGAGCTGGGACTCAGGATCCAGCTTGGGGTCAGCCTGAGGGGCCGTCCATCTGCACAGGCGGTCAGCGGGGGGCAATCCAGGGGCTCCATTTCCTAAGGCCCAGCCACCTCCCCTGACCCCAGAGGGGACTTACCCAGGCCCAGGTTGGAGATGGTCTTGAGGTCTGTGAAGCTGCTGGCCTCAAGGATGGCCTGGGGTAGCCTCAGCTTGAAGGGCAGTAAATCTCTGTGGAGACACGAGGGGTCGGAGGTCAAGTCCGGGGAGGGGTCTGTGTGTCCATTCTCGGCCCCCCACCGCCCCCAAATCCTCAGCCCATAAAGGAAGAACTCTGGCAACCCCGCTGGCGGCTGGGATCGCCACACAGACTGGAAACTTCCCTGGGGCCGAGGGGAGGAGTCCTGAGGCTGAGGGAGTAACCAGTCAGATCTGGGTCCTGTGCCTGCACTGGCCCCAGAGATGCTAAGACCCTCCTTGGGCATGGAGGGGGTGGGGGGAGAGGTTTATCCCCAGTTTTCTTGGCCCTGGAAGTCCAGGCAGCTTCTTCTAAAGGTGCTATTCTGGGTAAGGCAAGTGACCCACCCCTTCCAGTCCTCTGACCCCCGCTGCTCTGCGCCGAGACGTGCAGCGGGTGCACAGCCAGACTCCCCTGGTGAACCTACAGCCAGGTACCCGCTGGCGAGCACACAGCCAGACAGACACCCCTAACGACACAGCCAGCTCTATCTGCTGCCTTTGGTCTGAATGGGGATCTTTTCAGCGATCTCTCCAGAGATCTCCCAGAAGGGATCTAGACACCCTCCCCCTTTATTGTACAGATGGGGAAACTGAGGCCCAGAGAGGGAAAGGAAGATGTCCAGGCCTGGACACACGGTGGGTGGAGGGCAGAGTGTGCTGAGCCCCAGGCCTGCTAACTTCAAGCCCAGGACTGTTCCATGGGGCAGGAAGGGGAGTGTGGCCCTGCTGGGGCCCCAGGGTGGCTGGTCCCAATTCTACGTCTCAGCCTGGCATTCAAGGCCTGTCACAGTCTGACCCTGACCCCCTTTTTCAGCCGTATCCCCAGCTCTGTCAGCCTTCTCCCCAAACCCTGATTCGAGTCATTGAAATCCCATCCGTCCAGGCCCACTGACAGCCTTGCGTGATGGCCGCCTGTCCCCGGGGGTCTTCATGGCCTTACTGTCTATACCGCACCCTCCGTCTCCCCCCTTTGAACTACGTGAGAGCCCTGGAAGTTCCTGGAAGGGGCGGGTAGCTTTGCACGTCTCTGATATCCCCAGAGCCCTTAGCACACACCACAGAGGCTCAAAGAGTGTTTGCCGAATGGACCCGTCTAAACTTGGGGAACTGGATTTGGGGAGAGCAGGGCAGAGGCCGCCTGGGATGCAGGTCGCCGGGGAGCTTCCCAGACCACCTCTGCCCATCAATACAGGCTGTGCTGCTCCGCGGGGTGCCCCCACCCCTTCATGGGAAGTGTTTTCACAGGGGAAAGACACTCTGCTTATGGAATAGCAGGATGGGGGCAGGTGGGAGAAGATTCTGGGCCCTTTTCCGAGTTCCTGGGTTGTGGCCTTTGGCTTCTCCATTGTCAATGGGGTGGGCGTGGCCCGTCGATCTTTGCTTCATTGTCATAGTTGTGTGATTCTGAGCATCTGAGGCCGTCTGTGGGCCTCCTGTCAGCCCTTCCAGCCAGGCCAGGCCTGGACCCAGACTGGACGGGCCCTCAGTGCCGCATCCCCACCTCAGGCCCTGCCCGGTCACCACTACCTCGATCTCTCAGTTTGAAGGGTGGCAGAATTCATCCCGGTGTTGCCTGTCTACCTGGTTGGCTGTCTGGCCTGCCACTGGGGTTTCCAAAGGTTCCTGGGCCACTGCATATATTGAAATGGCCAGCAGAATCGCTCGGCTCATCTGGCAGCCACCCCCGACCACCAGGGCAATCTCTGACACCCCCTCCCCACCTCCTCTGTGTACTGCTCAAGATGCTGCAGTGGTGACTGCCGACCACAGCCCAGCCTCGGACCCCGGCGTCCAGGGCCTGCCCCAGCCTGCTCCCCGCTCCTGCCCACCACACAGAGCCTTCCCTTGCACTCGGGGCCTCCTTGCTGCCTCCCAAAATGTCATCTTCCTACAGTGAATGTCCCCTGCTCATTGCCACCTCTGAGCTCTGCAGAGAGGGAACGCCTCCCTCGTCCCTTCCACCTACGTCTACTTAGACTCTGCACACTCTTCAAGGCCGTACCACGGACCCCCTCCTTTTCCACAAGCCAGTACTGCTCAAGGATTTCACGCACGTCTGCCACCCCACCTCCAGCATCCAGTTCAGCCCTTTATCCGGGGGCCACTTCTTCTGATCCAAGGAAATGCATACACAGGATGGGGGTGTTCGTTGAGCATCTACTATGTGCCAAGTATCGGGCTGGGTGTTACCCAGTTTGGGCCTTATATCACATCATGTTATTATTATTACTACTACTGTAACACAGCAACCCTATGGACAGGCATTAATACTTTTGTATTAATTAATTCTGGATCAGCTCCTGGGGGAGCTGCTAAGATGTGGATTCTCAGATCCACGCCCAGGGGTTCTCAGTGTTGAGTCTGAGTGTGGGTCAGGAATCCACATTTTTAAACACCTCCCCAGCAGCACCGTGCAGGGTTAGAAAGAGCTCTGTGGGCAGCGTGCAGCACAAGCCTGACTCAACACAGACTCCCGGTCCACAGAGCTGGTTGTAGCAGTCACTGCCACAGTCCCACCCGGACCCCTCGGATGCCTTTCACCAGCTCTGTGCACCCATAGCGCAGCCTTGGAGGGGTTTGCTCCTGAGGGCCAGCACCCGTGACCCTCAGAGGCTTGTCCTGACACACTGGAGCCCCACTGCCTGCCCCAGTGGCCCTACAGAGAGCCACAAATGCCTGGGTGTGCTGGCTTGGGGGTACAGAAGCCCAGCCCTGTGGCTTTATAGTGGACCCCGAGGTCTGCGTTATGCTCCAGAGCTGCTGGAGGGATCTGGCTGAGGCTGGGACGGCCCCTGCAATGGACCCTTGCTGGGTTTCTCTCCGGTCTCTGTCCTGCTCCCCACTCCCTTGTCACTTCCTCCTTGGGGGCAGGTCCTTTAGCAGCCCCTGCACATGGATCCTCCTTTCCAAGTGTGCCCCTAGGAGACCCCCAGCTAAGCTGTTACTATCATTTTCTTAGAAGGACTCCCCAAACCCTGGTTTGCAGAGAGCCTTGTCATAAATGCAGACTGTCTGTCCCTTTGTCTTCTTCCTCCAGCATCCAAGGCATGGGCATTATCGTTCCCATTTTACCAAAGAGGCAGTTGAGAGATTAAGATTAGCTCAAATTCTGGGCTCTGCAATTATGTCATCATTCATTCATTCACTCACTCACTCGAAGCACCTAGCGTGGGCCAAACACTAGACTAGTGCCTTCTACTGAGGTAGAACTTCTCAGAACAGGAAGGGGCCTGACTCTGAGAGCTTGACACGTCATAACTTACAAAGCGTCAGGGAGCCGCTGATGCTTTGCTTTGCGGGCCTAGAAGGACACGCTAGGTCATGGGAATCATCGTGGGGCGTACACAGTGGGGCGGCTGTAGAAAAGATCATGGACCTTGGAGCTCTATCTACTTTGAATCCCCACGCTGCCATTTACCAGGTACGCGACCTTGAGCAACTTCTCTCAGTCTCGGCTTCCTCATCTGTAAAATGGGGCTAAGAAGAGCCCTTACCGGGTGGAATTGTTTGCGAGATTTAAAAAGATAATGGATATAGAACTGTAGCGCCATGCTGGGTACCTGGAGAGCCCTTAACAGGCAGCAGCTTATTATCAGCGTCACCTGTTCTGCCCACGGGGTCCAGGAGGATCCTGGTAGACGGGGGTGGTGGTGCTCTGGGTTGAGTGTGGCTTTCACCAGAGGCAACATGAATGGTCTCTTTGAAGCAGGGGGAGGTGAGCCTGGGGCCCTGGACCCCAAGACATCTTGCCCAGCTCTGCTTAAGTCCCTGTAGCTTAAGCCATTGGTTTTTGGCACCAAAATGTATTTTTCGATTCGTGTTGACCTGCCACCAGTCCTGAATAAATAGAGCAGCTCTGAGGGTGGTTACCAAACACCCTCTCCACCCAGCACCTGCTTCACAATCACAAGCCCTCTCCCACGGAGGGAGGGTATCGGCCCTTCCTGCTGTTCCCACAGGAAGTTCCTTCTATAACTTCTCCAACGGGGTGGGTCAGGTCCACACAGGACTCCAAGCTGTCCTGGAAGCAGGAATACAGGAAGCTGCTATGACGGGCAGTGAGCGCAGGGGGCAGGTGGTGGTGAGGGACGGGACTTTACTGGCCGGTCCAAGCAAGCAGCAGAGCCAGCACCCCGCTTCACAGTTACCAGGGTGAAGCCAGGGGACTGTCCCCTCTCTCTGCATCCTGTGGGCGGCACACTTCCCTCTTGGGGCTTCTCTGTGACATCCCTGTCCCCACCCAAGGTTGCATGGACATCTATTGCCATCAGATGCCCTCCTGGGGGCCTGGGCTACTCACCTACTGACACAGTAGAATGCGATCAGTCTGAAGATGTCCTCAAACACAAGAACCGAGCCTTCCAGGTACAACACTGAGGAGAGATGACAGAGGCCTTGGATGAGTGTCCCTGTCAAAGGAGAGGAAGTTCCCTGGGGAGGGCGTGTCTACTCTGTGCTCACTGTAGGTCACAGCACCTGCTGCTGCACCCAGCCTGCTGCGGCCGCATGTATATCAGCTGCCCCCTGGACCACAGGGAGGTGAGAAATGAACTTCTGTGGTGTTAACCCACTGAGATTTCAGGGGCCTTTCTATTATAGCAGATGATGTCACCTTAACTAATACACATTCCTCATTTTGAGCAAAATAACACAGAAAACTCTAGATTGTAAAAGCAGAATTGAAAAACGTCTTGAGGGAATTCCCTGGCGGTCCGGTTGTTAGGACTCGGTGCTTTCACTGCTGAGGGCACAGGTTCAATCCCTGGTCTGGGAACTAAGATCCCGCAAGCTGCACAGCGTGGTCAAAAAAAAAAAAAAAAAAAAAGTCTTGAATTAAACTTTCAAGGTCATCTCCACTTGACAATTCTGAGGGCTGTGAGGGGCCAGCAGGAGGACAGTTTCCCTGTTCTGCTGTGGTGTCCAGGAGGTTCACTGGTCCAGGGGTGCTGGACTGGGGCCACTGGCCTTTTACCCAAGAACCCCAGGGCCTGTTAGAACCTCACTTGATTTGGCTGCACATGTAATCCAAGGCCCCAAGGTCGACAAAGGGTGAAAAAAAAAAAAAAAAAAAAAAAGTCTTGAATTAAACTTTCAAGGTCATCTCCACTTGACAATTCTGAGGGCTGTGAGGGGCCAGCAGGAGGACAGTTTCCCTGTTCTGCTGTGGTGTCCAGGAGGTTCACTGGTCCAGGGGTGCTGGACTGGGGCCACTGGCCTTTTACCCAAGAACCCCAGGGCCTGTTAGAACCTCACTTGATTTGGCTGCACATGTAATCCAAGAGTGAGGGTGACCCCAATACTTTTCAGCTTTGACAAGGAAGAGGGGTCAAAGCATTTGCCAAAGAGCCCATCCCAGGGTGGATATGGCTGCTCGGAGGGGCAGGGCGCCGGGGTATGGCAGTCAGTGCCCGAAGCTGGGGTGGACTGCCCAGAGGAAAGCGTGGCACCACACCGTGCACTGCTGCAGAGCCCCAGGGCAAGGGGCCCAGACCACCTGAGTGAGCTGCACATCAGGGGTCTCAGCAGCCGTCCATCGCTCACCTCCTGACTCTCGTCCCAGGGTTCCATATGCCCAACAGGTGATGCTCCCTGCACGTGGGACCCCACAGTGTACTTTCTTGGGCCTCAGAGGGGCCAGGAAATATGTGTGCATCACACTTCAATTCCAATTTCCTGAGGTTCTTCTAGCGTCCATGGGGCAGAGGGGGAAGGCAGGACCCGGGTTCCAGGCCTGGCTGCAACCCTGGGATCAGCAGTGTGATGCTGGGTACACCCCTTCCCCTCTCAGCACCTCAGATCCTCCACCTGCATAGGGAAGGAGCCCTTCCAACCCTAAACACTCACGCATCTAGGTGACAGCAGCCTGCTGTCCTATTTTCAAAGCCTAGGACAGCTTTCCGCTGCATTGGTGATCTGCGAGATGGTCACAGGGGACACATGAACCAACACGTTTTGTTCTAATAGCTTTGTTTTAATACATTCCTTCCTTCTAATACTATTGCACTGTTCTACACAGTTAACATGATTTTTTAAAAGATTACATTCATCATTTATGGCAAAGAGACCATGGAATCCCATTAGGATAGATATAAAAATTTAAAAGGGAGTTTAAAGAAAAATATTAGATAGATTACAGTACTCGGAGGTACCGGGAAGATGCCCATAAGGGACAAGTCTGTGAAACACCAGTGCACGGAATGACCACCCTCTATGAGTTAACGGCCATGAGGCAGCCCATGGCGCCACCTAGTGGCACATTAGTGCATCGCCCACTCTCTCCGCAGGAAGCAGCACAAACTGGCCAAAAGATCTCCCGTAGTTGGGAGAGGTAAAGAGAACGCTCCAACTGCAAAATGGGAATGTAAAGACCTTTCTCAAGAATCCTTCAAGGGGGATTAGTGATGATGCACGCAAACAGCCTAGCCTCCTATGCCGGGCCTGCTCAACAATTAGCAGGTTTTCTTCATCGTTGAGACATGGTCTGACCTCTGCAGACACAGATTAAACCCTTAAGATAGTCAGTCCCTCCCTCTGCTGTGCCCCTGGCACTTTCTATAGAGCCTGCAGCTCCTTTAGACTTAGTTTACCCCACTCTGGTCCGCTCCTCGGGTGCAGGGACCAGGGCTCATTCATTTTTGTAGCTGGGGCCAAGCAAACTTTTAGTGACCCAATCACATTTTTACAGTGAAAACTGTAGATTTGTCAAAGCACAAGCAATGGTCAAGGCTCATGTTTGTTTCTTTGTAACCAGGTCTCTTCTGCCCCAGCCCCCTGCTCGTACCTTCCCGTCCTGCTCGTGGGAATAGCATCCCTGCACACCAAGTACACAGCCGGGGGAGCTCCTGTATGCCAGGGCCAGAGCTTTGCCCACATTTGAGTCTCCCTCAGTGCCCAGCACAGTGTGTGGCATGCGGTTTGGGAGATAATAAATGTCTGCTAAAAGTATGTCTGGGAGGGAGACCCCAGAGGAGTAGAGGCCCCCAGGGGCGTCTGGTTAGAGTCTCAGACCTCCCACTGCGTAGATCAGGGTCCTCCCTGCAGGGGCCCAATGGGACGCCTGGGACTTGAGGGAGTCCCGACAGGCAGCCTCACACTGTCCTGGAGCAGAGGTGAATGCAAACCGGTAAGAGTTAGACAGTCCTTTGTTCCAGGGGGTGGTGGTAGAGCTCAGCTTCCAGGACCACCCTGTGTCGTGCACTGGCCTGGTGGTTGTATGCAGGCGCCCAGGCCAAACAGCCTGAGTGTGAACGTGTCTCCAGCACATTATTGCTTATCCTCCCTGCGCCTCGGTTTCTTCAGCTGTATAACAGGGATAGTAAAGTACCCACATGTTGTGGGTTGAATTGTGTCTCCCAAAAAGATACGTTTCAATCCTAACCCCAGGTACCTATAAATGTGACCTTATTTGGAAAGAAGGTCTTGTCGGGTGGAATCAAGTTAACACAAGGTCAGAATGCATGGGGTGGGCCCTAAATCCAATGACTGGTGTCCTTATAAGACAGGTAGGACTCCCCTAGTGGCACCGTGGTTAAGAATCCACCTGCCAATGCAGGGGACATGGGTTTGAGCCCTGGTCCGGGAAGATCCCACATGCCACGGAGCAACTAAGCCCGTGTGCCACAACTACTGAAGCCCGCGAGTCACAGCTACTGAAGCCTAGAGGCGGTGCTCCCCAACAAGAGAAGCCACCACAATGAGAAGCCCGTGCACTGCAATGAAGAGTAGCCCCTGCTCGCCGCAACTAGAGAAAGCCTGTGTGCAGCAACAAAGACCCAACACAGCCAAAAATAAATAATAAATAAATAAATTAAAAAAAAAAAAAGAAGACAGGTAAAGACCTGGGACACAGACACAGAGAGGAAAAGACCATGTGAATGGAGGCAGTCACTGGAATACAGCTACAAGCCAAGGATTGCTGGCTGTCACCAGAAGCCAGGAGAGTGCCTTGAACAGATTCTCCCTGGTCTCCAGCAGGAGCTAACCCTGCCAACCTCGACTTGGGATTGCTGGCCTCCGGGCCTTTGCTCATGCTGTCTCCTCGTGCACGGAGGATCCAGCTTCCCCCTTCCCTGCCATGAGGGATCAGTTCCAGGTCCACTTTCTGCCTCAAAGCCTTGCTGGTACCCTGACCTCTCCCACAGGAAAGCCACACGCAGGAGGTACTGTCCTAATCACACATTCTCGGCTCAGGAGGCAGGGTATATGTGCTCACATTGTGACGTGAGCCGAGGCTTCTCAGACGGTGAGACTGAGAACAGGAACGGGTCTCACTTTGCCCATCACCTGCACTGTGCCCAGCCCTGCGCCCGGCACGCAGGGAAGGCTCTGAGAAGGACAGCTGGGCTGACCAGGCCTCCTGGTGTCAGAATCAAGAGTGAACCAAATCTCCAGAGATAGAAAGTACATCCGTGGTTGCTTAGGGCTGGAGGGGAAAGGGGACAGGGGACAGGGGACGGAGTTTCTTTTTTTTTATTGTGCTAAACTATGAAAAACATAAAGTTTAGCATTTAAACCATTTTTAAGTGTACAGTTCAGTGGCATTAAGTACATTCACACTGTGCAACACGGGGCTTCTTTTCTGAGGTGTTGAAAATGTTCTCAGATTGACCTTGGTGAGGGCTAGACAACTGAATATACCAAAAGCCACTGAATCGTACACTTTAAATGGGTGAATTGTATGATACTGAATACATGGAATAAAAACATGTCAATAAAGCCATTATTAAAAAAAAGAAAATGCACACATACAGAGTGGACTGAATTTCACTTCCTGTATTACGTTTTTCTGGGATTTTTATAATGAGCATATATGAGCATTTATAATGAGCATATACGTAAATTCTCTAAATTTTTCTTGAATTTGCTAAATCTCTCTGTAAATTGTTCTCAGAAGCTGATGGGTTTCTAGAGTCCTCTCACTCATGCTGCTTCGGTGCCCCTCCCAGCACTGCGGGCACAGCTGACAAGCTCCCCGCGTCAGCCACTGCCGGCTGGGTCCTCCCAACAAAGATGCCAGCTCCCCTCTGCTCACCTTTGCATCCTTGAGCAGCAACTCCTTCACTGTATACAGCTTCCAGCCTCCTCAGCAGAAACCGCAGTGGGAATACGCCAGACCCTGTCTAAACCATCCCGCTTTCGAAGAGTGAGGAGAGAGAATGACCAGACCCACCTGCTATGTCCCAAGGTGACAACAGGTGACAACATTGGGGCTCTGTCCCTGCCTAGAGAAAAGGAAACTTTTCACCTCATGACTCACCATCAAGGCTGAATCGGGACAAGGTTGAGACTCCGGGTCTGCACATGCCGGCCTGCCTTCTAGCATTTACAATCTCAACGTCAGTTATCCATGAAGAACCGAAAGCCGTTAGAAGAT